AAACAATAATAATGATAATAATAATTACAACAGCTATATTAATACATTTATTATAACATTCACACATAGTGTTCAAATCTGTAATAGATTTGTATCTGTGGGATATGTTTTAAAAAAGAATTCTCTTCTGCTTAGTAAGGCTGCATTTATTTGTACAGTAAAAAAAATACATGCCTGATTCAAGAAGGGGGTCTCAAAAATGGCCAAAGAAAATATTATTTTACTACCTTATTAATTTTAAGTTAAATTGTGCTTTGTTGGTATAATGTCTGCTAGAATGGTAAAAAATGTTCAGTGTTAAGTAAATATTTTTAAATGGTCATTTTGTAATTTATTTTTTTATTTGAAAAGCAAGACAAAACAGTAAAAAGCACATTTAATCGATTATCATTTTTATGAAATGATATTGATTCTTAAAACCTGAGAAGTCAAAAGTCAAAAGAGTACAACATACCGAAATCTGTATTCTGTCTCATGTAATTGCTCAATCGTTTCAATGACGGAAATATGTCAATATAAGCTTGTAAATAATGTCACGTAACGTCACATTTACCTCAGAAAAAACATATTCAGTGACCATAAATTTGTTAGTCAGCTAGAGAAATTAACTCTAGAGAGGAGCATTTTGCTAAATATATGCACTATATAACAAATTCATTATATTTTTTGTACTGTTCTTTAGTGTCTAATTTAATAAATCCGTCAAGTTTTTATGACAGCTACCACTTAAATGTTTATATTGCAAAAAATTAATTGGCAGAGAAATATAATGAAGTAACTGTAACTTTATTATTATAAAATAACTTAATTGAGCGTAATGTAACCGTTTGTATACAAATCAGTTAATTTGCATGCATATTTTACAGAAATAGTTGCAAGACTTTTTTCCTTGAGGAAATTTTGTTATGTACTGTACCTGATATATATCCAAAATAACCGATATTGAACTGAATTCAATCGAAAATCGAATAGGAAATTGAATCGAAAGGTTGTCAATCAGAATCGAATCGCCCTACAACTTACTGTATAAAATGCAAAAATGTTAAGTCGTTTTAAACCATTTATAGCTTACTGATATTACATCCTCACATCCAACAATAATAGCTACTTCCAAGACAATTTACAACATCCCCACATCTTTCAAACTAAAGTTATTAGCCCCATTTCATGGCCTCAGCTCCCTCCAGTTGCCACATGCCATATGCCACCTCAAGCGGCAGAAAAGACAGATAAAGTGGCAGCACACAGGTTCCACTCGGCTCGCTGTGCGTCTGTTAAGGCAGCCAGCCCGCCAAGGGGCCCCGTCAACAACATCAGAGCACAAGGAAGGAGGCTGATTGGGAGACATTGGGGGAGGGATGACAAACTGCTTAAACACCCTCTCCTCTGGCCACTCAAGCCCTTTCCCTCCTTTTCTCCCCTGTTTGATTAGTTCGGAGGGGGAGTGTTTGCGCTCTGTGAGGGAGCATGTGCCTGTTGGCAGCCTCCAATGGAATAAGCTTTCCCTTGAGACTAATGAGTGAGACGAGATGGACGTCTTGTCATCATACTCATGTTGAAAGGAGACAGTGGTGGTGTGTAGGTGCCATATATATGGCATTAGCAACACAGATTTGTTTCTATAAAGTAATGGATTTATGAAGCAAACCTGAAGCGGTGTTAGACAAAAACACCTGTTGAACAACAAATAGTTCTCCAAACATTTGATCACTTCCTCATCCACATATTGTTCTAAAGACACTCTTGCTTTGAGGAACCCAAAAGAAAAATATTAAAGAACTAAAATCAACATAATAGTGGTCCATGCATGATATTTAAAGTCTTCTAAAGCCATATGATGGCTTTGTTTAATAATTATTTAATTATGCAACTCTCAAATCAAATATGGTACCTGAGATGTATGAATCACTGTATTGTGAATGATGACTTAAATTTATATGTAGCAATTTGGAGGCTTTAAGAGAATTTAGAGAAGTTTATGGCCATACCAAAATTGGGAACTGCAAAATCTATTTTTGTGTTTCATAGAAAAAAATAACCACATATTTTTGGAGCAAAGTTTGGGGTTGGTAAGATTTTTAAACTGGTTTCTTATGCTCAACAAGGCTGCATTTATTTGATTAAAAATACAGAATGGGGGGAAAAAATGTGAAAAACCATGTTCGGTATTTGGCCTTTGGCCCAGTGTTTAATTTTGTTCGGTTTCGGACACGAATTTTCATTTCGGTGCATCCCTAATGTATGTATATGTGTATATATACACATATATATATATATATATATATATATATATATATGTGTATATGTATATATACATGTGTGTGTATATATATATATATGTGTGTGTATATATATTTATATGTATCATTTTTATGTATATATATATATGTATCATTTTTATAAATATAAAGAAATTTATATTTTTATTTAGCAAGGACACATTAAATTGTTTATGTTCATCAAAAAACAGAAATATTGTGAAATATTATTACAACTTAAAATAACGTATGCACAGAATACATGAGAGCAGGCGCAGCTGTGTTTAGTTTGGAACAGGACAGGGCCTGCAATTAGGAGCCAAACGCCCACGAAAAGTTTACTAGGGGTTCAATCTAACCAATCTAGTTTTAAGAATCATTTCGTGATAGCTCTATAAATATAGATCTGAGAATGTGAAGTCTATGTCTCGCAGCTCAAGGTGGCTCATTGGGACGGGGAGTTGACACGGTCTATGGTGTGAAATGCTGAACTCCATCTAAAACTTTATAAAGCATTTTATAATTATTGTACATGCAGTGTGGAACACTGTTCCAACTATTTGAGATACAAATTGAAATGACAAAAAGAGTCACATTGGGCGTTGGAAAAATTACTAGAAATAAAGACTGGAAACAGGCTTTCAGAATTTTTTTCCCTCATATTAATTGTACATTTAAAAATGTATTTCTCACAATGAAAGCCTATTAAAATTGAATTAAAGGCAAAATGAAGGCAAAACAATTTACAGAAATATCCAATTACACTACCATTTAACAGTACGATTTTTGAAAGTTTTTGAAAGAACTGTCTTATGTTCACCAAGGCTGCATGTATTTGAATAAAAACACAAAAAACAGCAGTAATATTGTGAAATATTATTATAACTTAACTGTTTTCTGTTTTAATGTTAAACGTGAATGGTAAATGGTGGTAAAGCTGAATTTTGTGTCAGATCCTTCAGAAATCATTCTAATATGGTGATTTGGTATGCAAAAAACATTTCTGATTATTAATGTTGAAAGCAGTTGCGTTGCCTAATATATATTAGGAAACCGTGATGCATTTTTTTCCAGGATTCTTTGATGAATAGAAAGTTCAAAAGAACAACATTTGCCTTAAACAGAAATCTTCTGTAATACTATAAATGTCTTTACTGACAATTCTGATGAATATGTTGTATCTGAAAAGGCTGCATTTATTTGATTAAAAATACAGTAAAAACAGAAATATTGTGAAATATTATTACAACTTAAAACAACAGTTTTCTATATGAATATATTTTAAAATGTAATTTATTCCTGTGATGGCAAAGCTGAATTTTCAGTATTATCAACAGTTGTGCTGCTTAATGTTTGTGGAAACTGATACATTTTTTTTTTCAGGATTAGTTGATGAACAAAAACAAACAAACAAAAAGTTACAAAAAAAAAAGTTTATTTGAGATAGAAAATGTTTTTTCTGTCATTTTTGATAAAAAAATAAATAAAATAAATCTTTGAATGGTAGTGTAGAGTATGTAGAGTAACCATTTCTTTTACTTTTTGTATGATTCTAGAAAAAGTTTATCCTCTTCACATCCACTTCAGTCGCCTGTTAAACTCCATCCAAACTGGCACATCTGTCCCGGCATAAGTCCTTCCTTCTCCACTAGACCAAGATCAATACAAAGGGTGAACAGTTGCAGAAACCGTTACCAAGACTGATCCAAGACGACACCGGAACAGCGCAGAACAACTGGGTGCACTTTGAAGAGTCTCTTGTGCTAACCTTGTTTGTCAGTGTAAATGCGAGGAGTCCCATTGTTGCTTCACAGAGGGTCTGTGGCTCTCTGGAGGGATGTCCATTGAGTCTCCGGCAAGGAGGGAGGGAGAGGAAGATCGATGGCTAGGGCTCTGGACTCAACAAAGGCCTCCTTTAATCCTGCACTGGGTTAGCATATGCTTCGCTAGTTTGCCAAAGGCCATTACTCAATTGCCTTTCTTCCATCCCTTTCTTTGGGAGCCTCTTGCTTTTTTCCTCCCTGTC